CAAGAGGACGCCAACGCGAATCTCAGACCGGTGCTGTTCGACAGCAAGAAGTTCAACCCGGCCCAGAGAGCCTACGACACACGTGATCGTGAACTACTTGGTTTGATCAACTGCCTAAAGAAGTATCAACACTTGCTGAGGGACAAGCCATTCATCTGGTACACCGACCACAAGAACCTGTTGTACGAGGCCAACCTGGAGTCGCGTCCGGCCCGTGTCCAACGTTGGTACGAGATCATCTCCAACTTCTCTTTCGCCACTCAATACATCGAAGGAAAGTCCAACTGCATGAGCGACTACCTCTCACGCACGCCAAGGTTCTGGAACCCTTGGGACGACGACTTTATTGTCACCGTCAAACAGTCGTGCGCCGATCTCAAGAACGTGCCCCAGACTGAGACGACCTTGTCGACGAGCAGCTTGGCAGAAGTCTCTGCATCAACTGTCAAGTGGCAGGGGATGATCTTGACCATCTTGGAGTACCTACAGTGGTTGTGCCAGTAATAGATGTAAATAATTTATTTATGTTAGTTGACCTTTGATCCAGAGTTGAATGGAATTCTTTTTGACTGCTCTGGCAAGTGAGAGGTGCTTGAGTAGGTATATTGGTTGACCATTTATCCAATCCCATAGACGCCAACGGTATTGTAGGTCATCTATATTGACCATCACAGTGCCTGGTGGTGCATCCTGCTTGCCAGTGATTACGTCAAAGTTGTCAATTAGTTCTAATTGTCCAGTGCTAGTGTTCTTGATTGCCTTTTGATAGTTCCAAATCAATGGATCGTATGAGTACATTCCAATCATGTGCACTACGATTGAGAGAGCGCCAGTGCATGCCAGCAACAGGGCAAGCGGTTGCCATCGATGTAGACGTGGGATAGAGGCAGCTATCAATGCCAAGTACGTGGACATGGTGTCTGTGAGTGGTCTGGCTCCAAAGCACCATCCTCCCCAATAGTCAAAGAAGGTGGACGCCGCATAGGTGAGCACTGTGGTCGATGCAATGAAGGGCGCCAGGGTGACCACCGATTGCTTGTCGCTAAAGAAAAAGGCCATCAGTGCGAATATGAGGAAGGGTGAATGAGTGAACAGTCCTCGCGATGGACTGAAGAACAGGGTGGATGCACCCGTCCAGAAGGGCGTGGTCCATGAACCCGCCAGGCCAGTCTTGGATGTGGCCAGCTTCTCTGCAGCCACAGTCTGTCCAGTGGTGAATGGTGACTGGAAGAAGTGATGGTTGTGATAGAGAAACGCTGCGCCAATCACCGCGCCAATCGAGCCGTACAGCAAGAGCTTGGTGGCCTGCTTCTTGAATCCCACGTTGCCTGGAACGACAGTGTTGCCAAGCAGTCTGAGGAGGACGGCCAATGGATAGAGCGCGCTTGTTGGACGACATAGTGTTGCCAGGGACAGGGACAGTGAACACATGATTGCCGATCGCTCAAAGCCTGTAGAGTCCTGCTGCAACCTGATATAAAAGTACATTCCAAGTGATATGAACAATGTGTTTGGGGCATGTTGCCAGAGTGCCTGGCTGTTGATGCTGGCCAGCGTTGTGCCCAGACCATAGAGCACGGACAGGCCTATGGCAGCGACGTACTTGACCGTGTTGTTGGTGGCGGCACCCGCGCGAGTCTCTGAGATTATTCGATTAAACACCATAAACATCACGCCACATGACAGGGCGGTGAAGAGCGAGGCCGTGAACTTTGACACGGTGAGCAATGACAGACGGTCATACTTGCACAGCTCGATTGTGGACTGCTGAACCGAGGGATGGAACAACTTGTTGTAGACGTAGAAGATTGGTGCTGATACTATTGCCGTGCCAATACTGAATGTGTTGACGTAGATGCCCTTCTGGCTCGTGGGCACCAGGTTGTAGTGCGACGTCTCCATCTTTATCCGACCCATCTCGTACAGCTGCCACGCACTGACAATCTCGGGCGGACCGTTCTTCTTTAACTGAGCCTGCGTCGTGATGTTCCAGTGTTGAAGCGAGAGGCCGGTGCGGGGCGGCGAGTGGTCGTCCGCCCAGAATGACCATGAGAAGAGACATGGCGTGCTGACCTCGGTGAGGCCAAAAACAGAGTCTAGTGAATGCCATTTGAGCAGAGGTGTGTTTGACATGCGCAATGCCAGCAACATGTTTGAGTTTGAGTCACCTCCAATGGTCATATCACCATTCTGTGTATAGATCATCAGCATCACAACAACAATCATCACTGCTGTAATTCGATTGAGTGATGACCAATGTTTGTACGACTCGTATACCACATCCAACCTTAAGTCATCACCATTCTGTTGTTGTTGTTGTTGTTGTTGTCTTGTACCTCTATTTTGTGGCACATGACCAGAGTTACCATCTGTTGTTGATGATGATCGACCTGATTGTTGTCTTTTTCTTGTTGTCTGTTGTTGTCCTGTCATTGTTGTACATGTAACACAAACACACACAAAGTGATGATGATGATCTTCAAAGTGAAGTTAATCAGTGGTTTTCAATGAAGTGAGCATCAGTCATTTGCTTGGACTTCTGAAGTTGATGTCTCTAAATAACTTTCAACAACTTGTCGATCATTCATTGCTCAACACACTCAACACAACAAACACACAACACACATATATTGGTGTTATCTGTACTTGTCTTCTCATTGTTATCCTCTCTTCTTGACGATGTCTTGTGTCCACATCTAACACACCCACTCACACACTCACACCACACAGATAATGTTGATTGAACACACACAACTCCTGTTGACATGTGTCAACTCAACAAGCACACAAGAGGATAGGATAGTACTACATTGTGCTCCTTCACTCACTACAATTAATCACACGCGCACCATCTGATAGATGGATCAACCCACTGACGGACTTGAATATGAATGAACGGAATGGCGAATGACTATGTATCGCTGCCAACAACAACAACAGAATAAACAATCATAATTATTGTCGTTGTTGTACTATTATTTGTCCGAAGAATACATACGACATCATCATACTTGTTATAATTATTATATATATATAATAATATAATACAGATAGAGATATAGATAGACCTTCTTGATATGGAGGAACAACAAAATGAAGAAGGACAGCAGGGACGTGTACATGAGTTGGAACATGCTTTGGAGAATCATTTACAACAAGTTATAGAGAGGGATGAAGCAGTGGAACTTAATAATAATAATAATAATGGTGATTATATATCATTGGAGATGCCTCCAATGTCTGATCAACAGCAGCAGCAGCAGCAGCAGCCGACACATCCAGAACAACTACAGCAACAACAAGAGTTGGCATCATTGTCAACAACTCCACCTCCAACATTGCGACAGAGTCAATATATAAACTCACCTTTAATATATAGACAGAATAGTAATAATAACATGAGATCGAACAATAATACAAATCAATCATTATCATCAACACAAGGAGACAAGACACATCAATCATCATTCTTTGAGAATTTCTCAAACATGTTTGTAAAGAAGAAGAAGAAGAAGAAGGATAAGCCTATACCTCCAATGGATTTGACAACACCTGATGCCACGCCCGCCACAGCCGCTGCAGCAATGGCACACGACCTCGAGAATCCAGAAACACTGTCACAGCCACATCACCACCATCACAGACGTCCAAGACGAGCGCCATCATCTCCACGAGCAACACCATCGATCCGAACCAGCAACAGCAACAACAGCAACAATATAGTCAATATTAACAACAGTAATGATCAAATAATCACCTCTCCGACAATGACACCACGCAATGCCAAGTCGGGCACGAATCACGTCAAACCAAATCGCAATCGCTCGCGCAAGTCGCTTCGGTCGTCCACAGCCTCCTCGCTGGCAATGAAGCCCAACCTCACATCATCAAACAATGGCAATGGATATTACATGGACAGCCACATCATCTCGGACAAGACCATCATGAAGCTGAAACACTTCTTTCGATACCCCTGGATGGTCATCAAGATACTGATATCGCCGCACCCTGGACTCGTCTACCCGTCCAAGGTGATCAAGCGACGTGCACGCATCTTCCTGATGCTGTGCATGCTGTTGGCATTCGCCTGCATCATTGGCACGATCTTTGTCTCGGAGATCTGGTACATCTTTGCGCCGGGCATCCTGATATGTCTGTTGTTGTACATCTTTGCCAAGTTCACCACTCATCATTATATAGCCAGCTTCCTGCTGATCGCCACGGCGGTAGCAATCAACATCACGTCACTCATAGTATCATTGAACAAACTAGAGATACCCTATGGCATCATCCTATTCTCCTGGGACACGATGATCCTCATCGCCGTGTCCATACTATTTCCCAAGCTGGGGCTTAGCATCCTGACCCTTCTGGCCGTCTCCTTCTCCTACATCGGCCTTGCCATCTACCTCTCAATCAAACAACAATATAGACTATTGGAAGTATGTATCCATCCATACATTCTCTCAATCAATCAAGACTAACCAACACAAACTCAGAACTACAACTCAATTGGAGAACAACTGCGAAGTATATTTGTAACATTGTTGTTGTTGTTATTCTATACGTTCATCACATCGATCGATTTGTTGGAGATTGAACGCAAGGAAGCAAGGATACAGAGTTTGTTCAAGATCAGCAATGAAGCATTGGTCGTACACAAAGGAGGATACATCACAGATGTCAACCCTGCATTCGAATCAATGTTCCAGATCAAGCTACAAGATATACTATACCCTGTGGTATGTGTCTGTGTGCTGGTTGGTCCGCCTTGTCTGGCGTATCAGTCACATGACTAACTTTAACTCTAACTCACTCACTCACTCTTGGATCGCGCGAAACAGCAAAGTGGAATATGGGAGTTCCTGCCCGAGCTGGAAGACTTATTCTACGACTCGACGTTGGATACGCTATTCCCGCCCGTGATCGAAACCACGGCGATAGATGCAGGTGGACGTGGATTCGAGGTGGAAGTGCGAACAAACAAGGCAACATACGCAGGCAGACCTGTGGATGTGTTCTCAATCATCGATATCACAGGTAGAAAGAATCTGATCGAAGCCGATGTTGCCCTGAGGAAGGCTGAGGCTGCCAACGAAGCAAAGGTTGCGTTCTTGACCACAATAAGTCATGAACTAAAGTATGTACTTGGACTCGACCCATCAGTCACCCGCCAACCAACTCACTCACTCACCATCTCACTCACTCAATCAATCAATAAATCACACATAGGACACCTATCAATGGAATCATGGCATCTTGCGACATCTTGGAGAAGACTCACATGGACAACACTCAGTTTGAATTCTTGGACGCTATCAAACTGTCAGCGGACTACTTATTGAGCTTGGTGGTGGATATCCTTGACTACAGCAAGATGGAGGCAGGCAAGATGGAACTGGTGCTTCAAGACTTCAGTTTGCTCAAGATGTTGGAGGACTCGCTCAGCATGGTGTCCAAGAGTGCAGCGAACAAACATCTCGATCTGGTCCTCTTCCTCGAGTCCAATCTTCCAGTGCTTCTACACGGCGATGCCACCAGAGTCAGACAGGTGCTGCTCAACCTCATATCAAACGCAATCAAGTTCACCGACGAGGGCCAGATCAAGGTCAGGGTGAGGATGGAGCGCGAGAACATCCACACTAAGGACTACATCATCCAATTCGAGGTGGAGGACTCTGGCATTGGTATCAAGGCCGAGCACATACCTCAGCTGTTTGCTCCATTCTCACAGGTAGACAGCAGTAACTCGCGACGCTACCAGGGTACTGGACTCGGACTGAGCATTTCCAAGAGGCTCTGCAACATGATGGACGGTGACGTGACGGTCAAGAGCCACTTTGGTCTTGGCTCCACGTTTGGATTCACTGTTAAGCTTGGCGCGCCAGTGACCAAACCTGGCTTCACTCTCGAGACAATGGTGGATGCGATGTTCAGAGGCGAGAAACTGAGTGGATTCGACACACCTCTCGTCGGACCGAGGAAGTACGAGAGGAGCCTTGTGGGCATGGTGGTGGACAAGAACCCATGGGTGAGGAAGTCCGTCATTCAGTACTTCTCCATATTGAACATATCATGTGTGGAGTTTGATTCAGATGTGGACTTTAGAACGTTTGTGCAAGGACTCAACACTCAGCAACCAACATCCACGAACCCTGTGTACATCGTCGTCACTAGCATACCCGAGTTGAACGCCGCGTCCACCATCATCAGTCCTACCATCGACATTCATTGGATCCTGCTGACCACGGACGCCACCGTGAAGCACTACAACTTTGAGAACACCATCCAAAAGACGTGCAAGTTCACCGACATTATCAAGTGCATGTTCCAGGTCGACAAGGACAACTTTGACTTCTTCAACGAATCACAGATTGGCAAGCGAACCGTAATGGAGATCAACTCGGCCAAGCTTGTCAAATACCCATCGCCGCCACCAATTGAGAAGTCGGGTGACAGCATCGAGACGTCGCCAACCTTCAACACCAACTTTGTATCGTCCGAGTTCCCCCCTGGCACACCCGGCGAGTCATCATCTGGAATCAATAATCGATATGCCCCGCTCACATTGTCCGAGCGATTGTTCCAGCCCAAGATGTCGCCACTGCCCAATCCTCTACGACTGATGGGCCGTGATCCCACCGATCAAGACCCTCCTCAAACATCTGAGAAGCAGGTGATGTTTGACAACCAGGTCACGTTCATCCCCCCGCCATTGATGAGCTCGCCATACGATGATAAAGAGAATCGTGTCAAGAAGGTGAGCACAGAGACACCGAATATGCAATCCGCCACTGAGGATCCAACAATGGCGGCAGACTCGAACAACAACAACAACAGGGCAAACATTCAAGTACCGACCTCATCGATGGTATCAGCTGCGCCCACGACCACTGCTACAAGCTCATCATCATCTTCATCATCAACGACGACATCGTCAGCGCAAACACATTCACAATCTCAAGCACCAGCTCCTAAAGCAGTAGTAGAGACAAAAAAGGATTTGATTTTGTTGGTGGAGGACAATCCAATCAATGTCAAGGTGTTTAGCAAGTTCTTGACGATGGGTGGATACAACTTCAAGTTGGCCAAGAATGGTGTGGAGGCCGTAGACATGACCCAAAAGTTCGACTTTGACCTCGTTCTCATGGACTGTCAAATGCCACTCATGGATGGTTTCCAAGCAACCAAGACAATCAGAGAATTGGAGAGTGCTGGAAAGATCAATCCTGTAAGTGTTCACATGTACTCACACACATATATATACCTAATCATACTAACATAAATATTAATTACAATTTATATAGCCACCTATGAAGAAGACACCAAAGTTGATCATTATTGCCTTGACTGCAAATAATGAGGACAGACAAAAGTGTCTCAGTGTTGGAATGGACGACTTCTTACCAAAACCAGCGAGTAGCGCATTGGTGATCGCAGCAATCAAACAATATCTCGAGGTTGATACCAAACAGACAGTAGAGGAAGAGAAGAAATAGTCTTATGGATAAACTGCAATTGGTAACAAATAAAGTACTTTATTTCTGTGTTTTCCAACGAGTGACGGACACCAAGGTTTTTTTGTTTTTTTTTCACTTCGACCAGGCTGATTATATATAATGTATGTATGGTTTATTTCGGATCTTCCAAATGATGTGTGTGAGTGAGCTGCGCGAGCGAGTGATCAAAAAGCTGCCGCCAGACAGCCTCCAATCTAGTTTATTTCATTTGGACTACCACCATATAAATATATAACTCGTTTACTTTAATAATGTCAAGATCAAGATCAAGAAACAAGAAGGATGGGGGGGATGTACAGAAGGAGAATGAACAGAAGGATGTACAGAAGGATGAACAGAAGGATGTACAAGAGGATGACGTTAACACCAAGTTCGAGAGGTTGTTTGGAATGTTGGGTGATATGCAACAGAGGATGAGAGCCTTCGAGAAGAGAGAAGGCAAGAAACCTGCGAGATCAAGTGAAGAGGATGAAGGTAGCAGTGGCAACAACGACAACGATAGCGACCGCGAAGACAGGAGCAACAGCAGCAGCAGTAAGATCGTCGATATTGAAAGTTACTATGAGGTGGCGGAGACGGAGTTTGAGATGCGTAGACAACCAGGATGGAACCCAGAGATTAGCGCGAAGGAACTTACCGCTCATTTCATGAGTGACAGGTTCTCTGAAGAGGCTATTGACTTCATAGACTCAAGGTCAGACTTATTCAATAGCCCAGATCGTGGAATGCGCACACTCAAGTGGGTGTCGAGCGCGGTCGGTCGCCCCAGGGACTTCCCGATCAAGGCCAAGGAGAAGTTAACCAGGAGTGGAGAGACAGACGTCCGTGTGACTAGCTCACCATATGACCACGATTTGTACATTGTACAGATGAAGGCCATCGACAGTATCCTCCCATTGTTGGACATGGTAACGAKAATTCCCCCTCTCTTAGACTGGGCTGAGTGAAGTGAGGGCTGCACGACAAACGGACAGTCACTGGCAACATGGCT